TGCACTCAGCAGTCACCAAGAAAGCTGTCAGCATGCGGCAGCCATTGCAAGGTTGTGGTTTTTTAAAAAAAAATCCCCCAGCCACCCTCTGCTGAAGGGGGAACTCAGAAATACTGCAAATCAGTGGCTGCTTTGAAACACAGGCAGTTTGAACCAGCTGTTTACTCATTCACTTTTGTCTATTTATTCAGGGTATTTCTACCTCACTTTCTCACTAACATTCTCATAAGGTAAGGTATTTAAAATAATACCAAGATAATCCCCACCCTCACCCCAGTAAAACTATTGTTAAAATGCCTGGGGAAATAAGAACGTTTTGAAAATTGGTGCTGAAAATTGGGCAGCTAGGATACCAGACAAAGTGATGGGGCAGGTGCGCCATAAACGGGGTGCCACAGTGAAGCATGGCCATGTTCAGTGTAAGAGGCCACTACTGAAGATGGGGGTGAGGCAAGCAGAAATCATAAATCAGGGTCTATGGCAAGGATGGGCAATAGATGGTGGAATCCTTAACAGAGGTGCAACCTCCTAAGCCCATTCACTTCAATGACCTTTAAAAAAAACCATCAAGTTGCCTTATGGCAACCTTGTAAGGTTTTTAGGACAAGTCATTTCCCATTGCCTGCCTCTGCCTGCAACCCTTGATTTTCTTGGTGGTCTGCCATGTCAGTGCTAACCAGGGCCGACCCTGCTTAGCTTCTGAGGTCTGTTAAGATCGGGCTAACCTGGGACTTGGAAGAGTTTTACTCTGCTTAAGATGGCACTGTGAGATTTGATGGGGAAAGGGAGACTTTTTTTTATGGACAAGAGGGGAGGAAGGCATAAGGATGGGAAGGTCAAAAGGCAAGATTCAGCTTTTCAGGGACGCTTCAAGAGATGTAAAATTGCCAGAGTGTTCTCCTTCAGGTTCTTCTCTGGCAGATGAAATATATGTAATCCTTGCTTTCTTATCAAAACTGAATATTTGCATATTTTGCTTTATTAAGGACATGAGATAGATTGTTCCTTTCTACTTCAGGAACACACTGAGGCCCCGCAATGAAACACAAGGAGCAAACAATTTGGAAATTCTCCCTTGATTCAAATCTTTTCCTCCTCTGAGGTCTTAAAGGCTGAAGAGGCCAATTTCACACTCACAGGCTCACTTCTTTGTTTTTCCTTCAACTGACACTCAACTGACCTCCACATTCTGTGCCGTGTCTCGTACAGGGCAATGAGCTTATGCTCCTTGGACAATTTGCCCCCCCCTGTTCTCTTCTGTTTTTTTTTTTTTTTTTTTTAACCAAGTACTGTTTTCCTGCCTAACTGGGGAGTCACCCTGAGTAAGGAGAACCCTCGCTTTGTTGGTGGGTGGCCATGTTTCACCACCCGGCTGATAGGCACAGAACCATCCTGTGTGATTGTTGATGGAGTGATTAAATATATTGGGCACAATCCATTTTGATTCAGAGGTGAGCGTAAACTATGTACGTAGCACTATAAAGTGGCCTAATAGTTGCTGTTTTGTATGACTTGCCAAGCATATAAAATACTATAGTTGGGTACATTTATTACAATTTTAAAATACAAATGCCATTTTGTTTCCATAAATCAGTTATTATGGGTAGACAGACCCAAGGTTGGAGATGAAGTTGCAATCTGTTGTGCCTGATGGGAAGCCTTCTGTTTTTGTTGCCAGTTGGGAAATAGGAAAGAAAATAATGTTGACAATAGAAACCATCAGCATGGCAATAAAGAAGAGCAAAGTTTTATTAACTGGGCTTAGAAACCGTCTGTTCAGTTCACAGTTTATTTAGCTGAGCTGGGGGCTGTAAGATGGAAATCTGTTGCTGCAAACATAGCAGCAAGTAAAATAGAAATCCACAGAATCCACAGCAAAGCAAAAACTAAAATATATCGCAGAGCCAGGTTCCGACCAGCCGAAAATGTGTCTTGCATATACATCATCTGCTCTATTTACCAAGGCTACTGTGTGTTATCTGGTTCCTCGCCCTGATATGTAAATGTCTCCATTTTGTGCAGGCTTTTGTCCTTTGGAAATGCTTTATTAAAACTATATTAAGGTGCTCAACTTGCATTTCAGAGTTTGTTCCCTTCCCAAGGATCTTCATGGGTGAAATTGGATTGAAGATCCAGTTGGCTGTTTTATGTATCAAATGATGTTTTGCTTTTTTCATCATTAGTCTTAATTCATTGCTTTTCTGTAGGGCTTTCTATATGATACTGCTGCTGTTTTTTTTTAGTTAATGCAGGCCTTTTAGTAAATTTTAATTGTAATGGGGTTAGGTATGTGTGCGAAACGTGATAGAATTTTGTACACTTCCTCAAGGAATCTGTGATAGGAGAGTTGGGCAAGGAATCTTGAATATATATACCTACATATTGTATATATAAATAGCTTCATCTCTACTGGACATGTATAAAAATGGATGCATATGCACAGAACACATAATTAACTTGTGTTCCTCATTGTCCCAGGATAAATTTAGCATAGAGGGGTCTATGCAGGAGCACATCCAGCCTGTGCTGAAAGCACTGCATTGGCTGCTGATAGCTTACCAAATTTGCTTCACGGTGCTGGTTCTCACCTTTAAAGCCCTTTGTGGTCAGGGCCCAGCATACCCGAGGGACCATCTTTTCCCTAGGGCTGCAAAGTTGCCCCGGGGGGCGGGGAAACCCCCGCCCCAGAGGCCCGTTCCCCGACACCGGGGAATTGGGCCCCGGGGGGAACCCCGCCCCGGTGTGCACATCATCAGGAAGTGACGCTATGACGCCGGGCACGCTGGGGGCGGGGCCACGGCCATACAAGGGAAAACTCTATGGTTTTCCCTTGTATGGTCGTGGCCCCGCCCCCAGCGTGCCCGGCGTCATAACGTCACTTCCTAGTGACGTGCATGCGGCGCGTGTGCACGTGCACCAGGAGCCACGAGGGAGTCCCCCACGGAGGAGGTAAGTGCCACTTGGCAACCCTACTTTTCCCACATGTTCCCCAGAGAGCATTGCGTTCAGGGGCTCAAAATTGTCGAGAGAGCACTGTGTTCAGGGTATCAAAATCATCTGGCTCTCCCTGTTCCCAAAGATGCCAAGCTAGCCTCAACCAGGGCCAGGGCCTTCTCTGTGGTGGCTCCATGCCAATGGAACAATCTCCCACAAGACATCAGGGCCCTGTGGGACCTTCTACAGTTCTACAGGGTCTGCGAGATGGAGCTCTTCCACCAGGCCTTTAATTAGGAGCTACATCTAATAACTGAACTGTGACAAGGCCCGTCACCCCCTGGAATTACCACCAGCAGCCTGTGCCTGCAGGTATAAATGGATTAAGATAAGCCGAATTCCAACGCTGACTATATTCCACTATGACTATTCCACCATGACCTGTTACTGTCACTATGCAATACTATTACTGCCATCACCATTGTCACTAGCACTTTATGACTGTTTATGATTATTTATTATTGCTTTATATCTGTGCTGTTTTATATGTTTTGATTTTTTTATGTCAGCTGCCCTGGGCCTGCTCTGATGGGGAGGGTGGGATATAAATTGAATAAATAACTAAATAATAAAAAGGTGATAAGACAAACTCATGGAGGAGAGGGCCATCACTAGCAATTATGGCTACATGAACCCTCCGTGTTCATAGGCAATGCACATCACTGGAAGCTTCAGATGAAAAGCTCAACAAATGTCATGGAACAGCTCTCTTTGTCTGAGAAGATGGCAGATGCTGCCAGTCAGAGTAGACAATACTGCACCACAGGGTACAGTTTCATATGCGAGAAACTGTGTCATAGAGGTAGGGGCCATTCTGTGCTGTTCATGCATAAGGCCATTCTGTGCTGTTCATGCGTAAGGTCAGAGGCTGGAACCCTTCTCTCCCTGAGACCCTCTGATGGTCATGCAGTACCACTGTTCAAAATGTCCTGGTGGTGCTGGGCCCTCGGGTTGCATGTTTGACACCCACTTGGGCAAGGGCTTTTTCAGTCATAGCCCCCTGCTGGTGGAATGGCCTCTCAGATGAGACCATCAGATGAGATGTAGGGTTTCCAGGTCCCCCTGGCCGCTGGTGTAGGATGGGGTGATAGCGTGGTCAGATCCAGGCTGGGAAACTCAAGATTTAGGAATGGAGCCTGGGGAAAACAAAGACCTCAGTGGGGTACAATGCTTGGAGCAGCAGACTCTAATCTGGAGAACTGGGTTTGATTCCCCACTCTTCCACATGCAGCCAGCTGGGTGGGATTTGTGCTCACAAGACTCCACAGCTTAGAGGGAGCATTGCTCACAGGGTGTCTGTTGTGGGGAGAGGAAGAGAAGGTGATTGTAAGCCACTCCGAGACTCCTTTGGGTATTGAAGAGCGGGGTATAAACCCAACTCCTCTTCCTCCTCCTCCACTTTTCAAAGCATCCCTTTTCTCTGGGGTGACTGATCTCTGTAGTCTTGAGATGATCTGTAATTCCGGGGGATCTCCAGGTTCCACCTGTAGGTTGAAGTTCCTAGCCCTGCAGGACCTCCCTAGGTTCCACAGGGCCTGTAAGGCTGAACTTTTCCATCAGATCTTTCCTGGTCAAGTTTATTTGGGGGGCTTAATGTTGGATCCACCATTATCAGTTGTGGGTTCTTTTTTATATATACGTTGTGGTTTTTTTGTACTGTTTTAATTATATTCATTATGTCTATTTTATATTGTTGTGAACTGCTCCAAGGCCTACTTTGTGGGGGAGGGGCAATATATAAATTGAAATAATAAAAATAGATAAACAAGTGCCCTTAGGGTAGCAACGAGGGGGGGGGATGACTGAGGCCCCTGCCTGGTATCTTCTAGGGTCCTTTTCTCAAAATCTAGAAAGAAGTCTTTCTAAAGGTGTGATAAAAGTTTGAGTCCAGTGGCACCTTTAAGACGCTCAGAGTTTAATTCTGGGTAGAGGCCTGATAGAATCTCCGCGCTCTTGCACAAAGTTCAGGATCTGAGATTGGCTGTTTGCCTCCCTCCTTTGCCCAGGTGATCCCCTTCCCGATGTCCTGCGATCTGCAGGGTGACTGTGCGTGTCGCGATCCTAACGCCCGAGAGCACAATCGACGGGATCTCCGCGGCTTCAGCTTCGGATAACTCAAAGTGAATGAGAACAAAAGAGAAGTACCACCGAAGGCAGACGAGGAAGAGACCGTCATCACATCCCCTTTTCTGGTATCGTTTTTAAACATTTCAGCTGCTCAACCGAATGGCATTTCTACACCAGGGACCTTTAGAATTCAACCAGTCTGCCTTTAATTTCTTTGCCCAAGGAGAACTGAAATATCAGGGGGAGGGGGAGGATGAGGGGGGTTATTGTATTAAATGTATCTTAATGGCAAGAACAAGCAAAACAGCGACCACAAACAGTGGAGTACTTCTACGGGGGGGGGGGCCTGGGGGAAGAGCATGCGTTACACATCCACCTAATTCAAACCATTTGTGGTTGAAGTTTTAGGTTCGTATGTTTTTTGGTTACGTTTTGCTTTTGTATCCAGATTACGGCAAGAAACAAGCCATATATAAACATGTACCTAATATTTATAGAGAGAACTAGAGAGGGAGGGGGTGGGAAGAAAGAGTGAGAGAGAGAAAGAGAGAGAGCGTGTGAGAAAGAGAAGTGTGACACAGCGATCGAAGGATTTCAATAGTCTTTGCTCTCTCCAACATTCATGGCCAAAACCGTTTGTGGAAGAGCCTAGCCTTCTGGGTTAGGCCCAGCCTCATCCGGTGCTGACAGAACCAAAGTGTGGGGGAAAAGATGGCTTCAGCACAGGTGGGGAACCCCATGAGCAACATTGCTCTGTGATTACATGGAGAGGGCAGAAGTGTCCCAGGATGAGAGGTCAGAGCTGGGGAGTCTTGCCTGTGGTGAAGTTCTGAAGGCCAAAAGCTGCTAAAGGTGGGGCCAGAGGCGCGCTGACTGCACCACCAGGGGGCGGGCGGGTGGGACAGAGACGAGGGTCAACCAAAACTTCCATCTTTTTTTGCCGTTCAATCATATCTGCTGCTGCTACTCCTGCTGCTGCTATGTCCCATACAACCGATACCCCTTCCTGTGTCAGGACAGGGTGAAATCAACCTCCAAGCAACCAAACAGTCTGCCTTAAATTGCTTTACCTAACTGCCTGCATTCCAAACCTCTGGGCTGCCTCCTCAGCGAGGAGGGCCAGGAAAACAGGGCACCAACCAGTCGGGAAACAAGCCACCGGATCCTCCCCGCCCCTGAAATGACAACACCCCCTCCCCCCCAAAAACAGAGAGAGCATTTCCCATCACCCCCTTTTCTCCCTCCTGCCCATACTGTACTTAGAGGATGTTTCCCTCAACTCTTTCCTGAGATAGAACTGTGGAGATACAGGAGTAGGGTTCCTGGAGCCCAGAACTGACTTTATCAGTATTAGGTGGGGAGGGTCTCCTTCTTGCCAGAGAAGGGGCATCTGGTGCTACTGCCTTTGCCTGTCTCACCTCTTCCACATAGTCCTCTCTGGGGTCAGCTTTTCGGTGGTGCTCATTGGGTGCAATTCATGCTGCTCCAAACCCCTCATTCGGCACCCAGAGACCACCTGTGACCTCCCAGTAATGCAGAATGTGTGCAAAGATGGCCACGGCCTTCTCTGTCCCGGGATAGGGAAACGAGAGCATCCCACTGCTTTGTGAGGGACTGGCAGCCACAGTGAGATATTGCTGCTAGTGGGTTCTTTAAAAACTATATGTAGTTTTGACCCCCAAATCCCCGTTTTGTTTTCACTTTGAGCAAATCAGTCTATCTTCACAGTGTTTTCTGTTTCCTTGCACCAGATTTCTCCCATAGATCTTACATGCTGTCATTTGCGAATCAGTAAATCTGCATTCTGAATATATCGCACATACAAATGGCAAATGGCGTACTTATTTTGTATATATATAAAGTGTGCCTAAAATGTACAACATACATAACAAATCAACAAAGCCCAAAGGCACAGCAGAATGAGAAACAAATATAAAAAGAAATGAACACAGGTAACATTTATGCTTTATGATTTAATAGTAATAATGCCACCCTGTTGGCATGTCTGTTTACTGTTTTTGTTAAAAACAAAATCAGTTTCCCCACAGCTTTTCAATTCCAGGGAAGAGAGGAGGGGTTGAAAGAATACTCAAGAGCCACTGGAGATCTTTCTGAGATAAAAGGAAGATTGACACTTACAGAATTCTGAACAGCAGCTGCCAACCAATACTCACTGCAGGCATAAACTATAGTTCCCAGGGTTCTTCTGGGGAAGGCATGGCCATTAAACAGAACACCACTAGAAGTCTGAACTGCAGGTGTGTCTTCCTTAGCCATTTCTGATTCAGCCTGTGTAGAACCTTCCAAGGCCACCAATTCAAATAAATAAGTAGAAGATGGCAGGGAAATGGACCACCCACAGAACTGAACATCCCAGGCTCCAGTTATTAGCAAGAGAGATCAAATCCTGTGACTGCATTCCCCATTTGACTGGGATGTTCTGCATTTTTATTCTTCAAAGCTGCGCAATCTCCAGAATGCTCCTTCTCCCAAAGTCCTTTTTAATGGACACACACGCACACACAGTCTTGGCACAGGTACCCCTGCACAGGTTGCATGATTCACTGGCTTATTAATCAATCAGAACCTTTATTGGCATATTACACTGGCTTATTTCCCCGAGACTCACATCCCAATCTTCTGGATATTCCGGGGGGGGGGGGGAGCTGGTGGGTTTCACAGAAAACGATGTGGCCTCTCCCCAAGACAGTCATGTCTTTGCAGATCCTAGAATAAGATTCCTGTTCAAGAGCTGCCCCCTTTGCATGAAGGAAAGAAGGACCATTTTCAGCCCTTGAGATCTGCTCTGGGCCTTTATGTGCAAACAGTTCTGGGTAGGACCTTTTTTAAAATCATCGCCCTCATGCAAGGGCGTGCAGCACTTGTCCAGCAGCACACACACACTTTCACTACAGGCCTCCAGCTGAATTCATGCCCTGTTTTCTCCCCCACCTTAGGAACCATTGTTTTGCCACTTCCCTGGTCCGTGAAATCTATATGGGAATGCGCTGTAGGGGGAAAGGATCCAAATCTTGTTGGACTCCGAGGCCAAAATATGGCCCAAGGAACCTCAACAAAGCAATGTGGTCATCATCCGCTTTCCCATTGTGTTAAATTCATCTCGTGACACGTTGTGTTCTTTTGCCAACTTAACCCCCCCCCCCCAAAAAAAGTTGGCACGCATGGACCAGCCTATGAGAGAACGGTATTCTATGTGGCCCAAACTAATTGGGGAGCCTTCTTCCCCTTCCCTTTCCTCCATCTCCTGCCGCCCACAGCAACTGCTCTGGGCTAACCACTCCCCTTCTCCACCCCTTTTAGTAAAGGAACCAGGTTGGTGGCCTGGGTTCCCACTGGCCATCAGAAAGCCGCTGAGAGGAGGAGGGTTCTGGCCACAGAGGGTCATTTGGAATCAGGCTTCAGCTACCTCCATTCCGGTGTCTCTTGGTTGTAACTGTCGGTTTGTTCTAGGTTTTACCTGTGTTTTGTTTTTGTCTTTTTTTAAAAAAAAAGAAAGAAGGAAAAAGGTTTGGGTTTTAACCCTCAAGATTACTTAACAAACGTTTCTTGCTGCAACTGATTCAAGATACATATGAGAAAGACCAATGAGGTTTTTTGCACAGACAGTAGCATGTGTATTTGTGTATACATGAGTGTGTGTGTGTGTGTGTGTGAAAGAGAAATGGGGCATGGGTGAGGGTGGTGCGGAAAGAGTGGTGTGAGAAGGACAAATTCTATTTTGGAGTATTTTTTAACATGAAACATCCACTTTTGCCCACCGAGAGAGAGAGAGAGACTTAATGCATATATTTCCTTATAAATAGTATGAAGGCTCTATAATGTCATGGGCAGGAATCCCCTTTGAACGTTTTCCTGCACAAACTCTTTTGAAATGAACCGGAGATGCATGAGAACCCTGTAGAGGCTTTCTGCCGTTCCCATTCACTTCCCCTGGGCCAGGCACATAGGAGGCAGCCAGCCTCATTGATGGATCATGGTGGATCAACCAATGGCAGACCATCTCATTGCCAGTGGACCGTGTCCGCTGTTTAATTTCTTTCCCCTAGTGCTTCATGATAGTTAAAAAGATGTGTGCTTTACCTCTTGATGTTCCGTTTTTTGTGCTTATGTGAAGAGGGAGGGTAGTCCCCCCCAGATATTTTAAGAGCAAAGCAAGTATGTCATTTGTCTGTATGAGTGGGCCCCCTCCCCCCATTGTTAGACTTTTACCAGTATTTCATTGCTCTTCTAACTGCACAGTCTCAATTAACAATATTAAGAGCAAACCCCTCCCCCCCAAACAACCCAAAAGCTAACCGGGGGGGGGGTGGGGGGTGGGAGGTTGGTTCGTTAGCTGCTAAAATGATCAGACAGGTGAGTTTGGTTTAGGAGGAACAGACTCATTCCATGTTCAAAATTCCTTTCATGTCTTAAAACAAAGATGGCCAGGTGAGAGGTGGGGCAGCAGAGAGGCCAGATCAGTGGCGACCCTGAGAGTGTTTTGATCTCTGCAACATCAAGGCTCGGATGTTCCCAGCTGCAGTCAGCAAAGAGTCCTATAGAGGGGCATGTGGCACCCTAATCCCTAAGTGTAAATTAACACCATAACCAGATCAGTGAGTCCAGTCATGGTGTTGACTAGGACAGCATTTGCTGCCAATAAGGTGTTGCCTAACAGGCTTCTCAGAAATAGGCACACTTTGGCACAGCCACTAAGCGGTCCTTCTGTTGAGTTCAGATCCTGTTTAAGCAAACAAAGGCAGTTCTTGTAATAGTTGCACTGGCATCGTCTGCCTCAATTCCTGGTGCCACTGGCAGCCTTTCTGTCATTCAGGCCCTGGTCCTTATTCCTGTGCCTTGAAGCAAAACCGGTCTGGCTGAGCATCATGCATTAGCCTTGGAAATTATCACTGGATGGCTCAAATCAGAACAATTCGGCAGCCACTTTGCATCTAAGCAGCTACCCTGTGGGTGTCTTTTGCTGCCCAGCCGTGCCAAGCCAAGGCTGATTTTCAGTCCTTTAGTGAGCACCAAAGAGGGGGGAGAG